CAATGGCTCTGTCTCGACTAAGAAGTAAAACTTCCCCTCAATATTGTGTGGGTCACTAAAGGTGAAGAACAGTTCAGCCAAGGGCTATTTTTCAAAGCCTATTGTTGGATTATCCTTTGGAGAACTGGTTTGTTTAATTCATGTAGAACAGATTATCTTAATTAAAAGGAAACCACAATTTTAAAAATGCATTAATTATTTCCTTAGAAAGTTCCTCATTCTATGAATTCCTGTGTAATATTTGTACCACAATAATCCCACAAACACACTGCAATCTCATCCTGACTCATGTGAAGACACACTTTTTCTGACAGAGAGTAAATACTGAAAAAAACAACAGGTTGTACTGTTGTTTGTTTGTTTGTTTGTTTTTTTCTGAACAGTAGGTTCCAAAACAGACAAGGACTCCACCCTGCCAAAGTGGCTAAGTCTATGCCTCTTAATTGCAAGCAGATTCTTAACTACCTGTTCCATTGCTCCCTACCAGCCTCTGCGATGACCAGCTGTTTTGCCTGGGAATGAGGAGTTGCTCAAGGGCCTGGTACTTTCAGTTTTAAAATGGAGAACATGCTGGGCAAACCAGAACAAGCTCAGAAGCCTTCATGCAAAATCCCCTCACCCCACACCAACAGGACAATAACCTCCTGCAGAGTACTAATCACACCTTCCAGTGACTTACATGCTTGTTTGAAGCTCTGGTCTCTGTGACAGGCAGACAGTACTTGCTGGATGGATGGATGGATGGATGGATGGATGGATGGATGGATGGATGAACAGGAGGATGGACGGATGGGTAGATAGCAAGGATAGAAAGAGGTAAATCTGCCTTATAGATAGTAGGACATAGACTTTGGCATATTATCAAGAGAGATATTTATCTTGATGATTGGGAACAGAGCTAGTTGGGGGAGATAAGAGATCACAGACTGATTTTAATCATATATTTTGCATCAAGATTTCCTTTTTTTTTTTTTACCACCAGCTTAGTCCCTACTGTCCCCCTGAGTCACTGCCCAAGAACAGAGCCCCCAAAGGTCAAGCCCAGTGGTTAAAATGCAGGCCTAATTTTTTCCTAAGTGAATAGGACTTGAGTCTTTCCCCTTGGTAATACTAGGGCCTGAAAACATAAAATGTAAAAGCAAATCAAGTCAATACAATTTGTATGTAGAAGAAATAGTACAAAATCTGCAGAAGCAAAAGGCTGTGAAAGGGCATGACATGTTCTTGGAAGAGCTATCTGGGCTTGGCTGAAGCAAAGGATGATGACAAGATTTGAAGAAATAGAAGCTTGTGGGGCCTCAAGGCAAAATGCTTTGTACATTCAAACATAGTGTGAATGTAAATCAGGGTACGATCTCTGGTAGACCATTTAGAAACAATTATCAGCATTTAAAGTGAATATTCTCCTTGACACAGCATTCCTCAGCTAAGATAAGTACTTGCAAAAATACATCCAGATGCATATATAAGGAAAGTCATCATATCAATGCTCAGAAATCAAAATGGAAACAATAAAACAGACAGAAATGGCCCTAAATGTCCATAAACAAGGAATTAACTGTTTAAATAAATTATGGGCAATTCACTGAACAAAAATTATAAAGAAAAAGATAAGCCAGTATGGGACAATATGAGCCAATATGGCACTACCTCCAAGACATATTAAGTGAAAAAAAAACAAGAAACAGAAGAATGTGTGTAGTATGATATCAACAGGTTTGGGGAAAAAAACTTAGATTGGGTGTGTATACATATATACTTATTTACATATTTAAATGCTTACACAATTATATGTACTTTTTACATGCCTAGAAAATGTCTGAAAAGATACAGAAGGCACTTTTCATTTTATAAACATGCATACTCTAATTCTTTTACCATGACCATATTATTACTTTTATAATAAATCACAATGATAACCAAAACACTACTTTAAACAAACTTTGTCTTCCTAGCAAACATCATGAGTTTTGCCTACAGAGCAAATATCCCAATGTAGAAGTTTTAAATTAAGGAATGACTGAAAAGGAATACCTGTATCATGCCAAATAAATAAATCTAAGGTAGTGCAGTGGTGCTTATATCTTTTTAAAAAAGATTTATTTATTTATGCATACAAGAACTGGGATGTAGGTCAGAAGTGTGAGGGATGAGAGCATTCACCAAAGACAGAGTGGGGAGCACAACAGGAGGATCTACTGTGATACACTGCTGAGGGTATCACACCTGAGATACACACCTGAGTAGCAGGTGAGACAGGAGAGGTCTATTGCACCATGGGGGTATTTCCCTGGCCGGGGATGGGCTCATGCCGCAGTGGCTGGTGGGATCGAACTCATGCTGCAATGACTGGTGATAGCTTGATAGTTCTGAGACCCCTGTGCCACCAGGGAGGCCCGGTGCTTATATCTTTAAGAAATATCTTGGTAGAGTCAAATGGACCAAGCTCTAAATCCATTTCTATGACCTCAACAAACTGCAAAATGTATCGAGGTCCCACTTTTCTCCTTTATTAAATAGATATAATACATAGTACCCACTGCCCAGCGTGACTGGACAGTACCCAGCAGAGCTTCAACACATTACAGTTAGGTATAGCCAGTAGTGATTGAAGCTGTACTAGACCCAAGACCCATTAAGAAGGTTCTAGATCAGTGACTCCCTAGTTGCCTAGGGGTTAAGTCTCAGTGCTATCCGTAGGGCCTGAGTTCAATCCCCAGCCAGGGAGCTAAGCCACATGGTGCAGCAGACCTCTCCTGTCTAGCCCTCTGCTCTCCTTAGCAGTGTTTCGGTAAATCTGCCTGATCTGTTCTGCTCCACACTCTGTCTATGGTGAGCCCTCTCACCATCCCTCCACCTCTGGCCTGTACCCCACTTCTTCTATGCAAAAATAAATAAAATCTTTTTTTAAAAAAAGGTTCTATATCCCGTTCCCAGTCGTCTCCTGATTTCATATCTTCAATTCCTCAAACTTTTCTCCCGAACTAGTAAAGATTATTTTTTTTATAGAATGGATAAGTAAACCTGCTGCCTTACTATGAACGTGTAAAGAGGTGCTTATCAACAATAAATAGTTCACTGTCTTTCCCAAGACAGCATTAAGGTAAGCATAAGTCTGACCTGTTACTTGCATGAGACAATACCTAGGAACAGGGGACAAAACATTTTTTTGCACTCAACAGAGTAGGGTAATTAACTACTTCTTTGCAACTTTAAGCTCTCCACTTTGCTAAAGCAAATTTTGTGGTTTACAAATATTCTGAGGAGTAAGGTTTGTCAGGCAGATCAGCCAGACTAATCCATCAGTCACAGACACTACAGCTGAAGGCCAACAGTTCATTTCTAAAAGATTGGCACTCATTACATAACGGCTCCAATGGGACTACATTAAAAGTAAAGCAAAAATAAACTCTCCCCCTCAGTAAGCATTCTGGGGCTTTGCAAGGCAGGCTCAGAGCAGCTGTACACTAACATTTTTGGCCAAGTAACCAAGGCTGACGCTGGCCTCAAATTCCATAGATAATTACCTTTCCGGGCTTAGAGACTGTCATTTCTTCCTTAACTCTGGTGAAATCCTTGGTAGTATGCTCCACTTACAAGCAGAGAAACCAAATTACCACTGTTGAAAGACCCCGTCCTGCTCCAAACTGTCCTCTGTGGGCACCTGTCCCCATCTGACAGTCTGCTCCCAAAGAGATTGTGGGCTAAGCGAGGTGTGACTAGCTCCTAACTCACTGCATCTTTCACAGTATCTATGGACCGCAGAAGGCCAGGTTTTCTTGCGGAATTAATCTGGGCATAAAAAGCAGGACTATTTGTGTGGCGTGCAGCCATGGATTTCAGGGCTGAGCAGAGAGTCCAGACTTCTGGATCTTGGTTCCAGTCATGCCAGAAATGTGAACATGACAGTCTCCTTCTCAAGAGCTCAGTGTCCCCATGGTAAGAATAGAAGGAACTAGGACTAGCTCAAGGGAAATCCCTCCAGGCAATTAGCACCCAATTCAAGGCCAGGACAGTCTCTCCAGCAAAACTAAGGGAGGAACCTTAAATAATAAACTCCAATTCACAATGACACCTAAACCAAGAGCTCCTGTTGTCTGCAGGAGGGTAATGGAACGCTAAGTCACAGAAATGACTGTGAAAAGTTTTACATTCCCTACAAGAAGACCCAACCATGGGCACAGTTGGGACATTCCCCCACAGAAGGGACATTTCCTTCCCAGCTGCAGGTTTTCCCTCCCACAAAGACCGAAGACACACAGAATTCTGCAGTGGAGAAGTTTCTGCTTGCCTGTATCCACGGACCTAAAAGAGTCTGCATGTATGCATATATCATTTCTCCCCAGTTTCTTTCCCCTCCCCAGGCTTAATAATTGGCAGTACAGAGCTGGGGGAATAAATTTGAGGCTGGTATTACATGGTGTACTAAACTCAAGAAAGTAAAAATTGGTAGCAATTAACTTGATTCTGGCCAAAAGTAATTCTACCTAACATTTATGTAGTAATGGGGATGGAGCAAGTCTGTAGTGGGGCCCACTCCTGAGACCTGCCAGGTACCTCCCCTATGCACCCCCCACTCTGAAAGCGGGTATTCAGTGCAAAAAAACGCACAATGCGACCCAAGTGCGTCATGCCACGGAGATCCTGCGGAGGAAGGGAGTTGTCCGGACGGGGCACCGGCCCGCAAGTGACCCAACCTGGCAGAATGGGCAGAGACGAACCACTGGCTCCGGGATGCGTGGGGACCAAGGAGACAATAGGGTCATCCGAAGGAAATGACAGGAGGAGGGCAATGAGCCCAGGTGTCCGGAAAAGACACAGAAGAGCGCAGATGGAGACCTGGAGGGCGCGCGCAGGGGAGGGGGCGTGGATCAACTCTGTCCCTAGAAAGAACGCCCCAGACACAAGCAGAGCCCCAGTCCGGCTTCCAGGCGCGGCGGCTCCTGGGGACAGCCCCCTCCCGCCAGCCCGCGGGCCAGCCCCGCTCCCGCGCCCCGCACCGTGTTGTAGAACTCGGCGATGGCAGGCACGATGGTGTAGTTGTCCTCGCACCAGTCCACCTCGGAGCTGCCAGCGCGCAGCTGGTCCCACCAGTGCGGGGCGCTCATGGCCGCTCTGGGGCATTGGAGCAGCTGCTCCGGGTGCCAAGAGGAGCCCAGGGCTGCGGCTGGAAGCAAACTGCGGCGCCCGGCGGCTTTATTCGCGACCCGGCACCAGCCGGATGTGGCGCCTCCCCAGCGGGCCTCTTGGAGTTCAGCTCCGCCTGTTGGACGTGACTCGCTCGCAGACCCCTCCCCTGGCCCCGCCCCTGGGGAGCCGGCCCCCCACGAGCCGGCCACGCCCAGGCAGGGGCGGCCCCCGCGTGGGAGGGGGAGCCTCGGGGGACCGTGACCCGGCCCCGGCGGCCTTCAGGCTGGGTGTCCCCAGCAGGTGGCCAAGGCCTGGATGGTCCAGCTCACGCCTGCCCGCGCCTGCCCCCAGCAACTCTGGCTCAGCCCCGCAGTCAAGCGTGTGACTTCCAGGCTCACGCTGGAGAAAAGGATTCGACTTCGCGGGGTGGCATGGAGTGGGAAGTTTGTCTACCTGCTCTTCCCGCGTGCAGCTCCTGCCTCCCACTCGCTTGTAGAGTACTTTTGCAGTTTCCAGTAGGTTCTTGCTGTCTTCTGGACTTGGGGCAATGTGCTTTCATCTAATTTTCCATTATGCAGTAGGTCAAGCTTAAGGCAGCTCAACCTACAGAAAATGCAGCGTGGAAGGTCTTACGTCTTCAGGACACCCACGTTACAAGTGATGATGGCACATATACAGCTGGTCCTTGAATACGGGGGCTAGGGGTGCCCCACTCCCTTCTGTCCTCTCCCAGTTGAAAATCCAGATATACTGGCTTCCAAAAACTTCACTACTAATAGCCTTACTGGTAATATAAACAGGTGACTTAACACCTATTTGTCTGGTCACCTATTTGTCTGCAGACTGTCTGGTCTGCAGTGGCTGTCACTAGGATCTCTGTGCAAGCCTGCATGATACTCTGATCGCTAGCAGGGGCAGCCCAGTAGGACCAATGCTGGTGCTTCATTGCCCTAGAGACCCAGTGTCCATCTTCCACAGATACTCTCATGGCCATTTGCATGTCTCCCCAAATCTCCATCACTGGCAGAAACTGCAAACCCAAATGCCTCTCTCAGGCTCTCAGAAATCTAGCTTTCTCAACTGGGGACCAAATCATCCTCCCTTTTTTATTTTTCTGCCAACTTTTAGGCCATTTTCTTCCTGGACAGTCAGTTCCACTGACTCCTGGAACTCAAGGTAGAATGCTACCCTCTCCTAAAGTCAGAATTGCCCAGACCTGCACGATAGCCAGTGTGAGCTGACCACTTGAGAGTCAGAAATATTTGCCACAGTCACACACAAACACACACAAAAATACATCAGTTAATTTCTCAGTGTCTCACAGCACTACACAAACTATTTAACAATACCTTGCCGTGTTGTCAAGATTTTACTCCTTCCTATATTTTAGGTGCAAATTACAAAACCCATCTTCATCAACCTTACTGGTATAAAAAGCACCATTATATTATATCCTGCTGGCTCTCAAAGTGTGGGCCTCCTTTCATGGAGCCCAGAAGGCTTGTTAATACTGTGACATTTGCTGCCTTCGTTCTCTCATCAGTGTACTTTGGAGTTTTTCAGAGGCTACCTTGACAGTTCATGTCATTCTCTCTCTAAGAGCTAATGGATGTGTGCTTTGTATTCAATATTAAACATGTTAAATGTCTATTGTGGCCAATATCGATATATTAGCAGATAAAACAAATATTCTTTAGGGTCCTCAATAATTTTTAAGATTATAAAAGGATCCTTGTACCTCGTACCTCATACCTCGTACTTAAAAGACACTTGCAATTAAACTATTTGTAATTTTTTTAATCATTTAGAATTTTCAACATTTATTGAATGAAAACTTTGAGACTTAGACATACACTGTTATCTACATCATCCTTGTATACATAAGCAAAATAAGAGCAAATTAGCTTTATTAAGGATTTCCTGAGATCTTCTCACAACTAGAATTTCCATTTTTCTTGATTATTTTTCTGCTCAAAATCAGTGGTGTCCTTATATCCTTAATTACCACATGCTGGTGATGCAGCATTTCAGTTCCCCACTACAGTTTGCTTCCAAGCCACCGACACCTAGTGTATATATGTTGATGCCTGCACTTTCTTGATCTTACCTGAAAGTGTTGATAGAAGGTTTTCACACTACAGGCATCTTGTTTCTTTTCCAGATGGTCTTTATATGATTTGTTGACAGAAGCACAGAGATTACAGTTGCCCAGTCATCCTACCCGGGAGAACCACTGAGTTTGTGCATGTTCAGGCAGTGACAACACATCTCCACCACCACATGTCCAGCTATGATTATAAAACGCATTTATTGTAAGATGCATCTGGATTTTAGAGATGCAACAATGCAAAGTAATGTGAGTTTTTAGCACCAATGAAATGTGGAATCCACTGGCTATAAGTCCTTCCCATTAAAGTCTCATGTTTTGTGTTAATGCGGCGGATGGCAAAACCCTATATAAAATAGGCAGCTTTGCAGAGTTTGGGCTGCCCCTCTTCCTGCCCTGTAACAATACTACTCCCCAAGTCCTGCTAATGGGATGATGAGTTTTCTTTCTGCACAGAAACTCATTGTCAGTGAAAACTCTGGTTCACAATGAAAGGTGACCACTAGGATTCTAATTACAATTGCACAGAGAGACAGTGCTCACGCAAAAGTGAGGGGTGAATAGCTAAGGAATACAAGCTACGTCCCTCCAAAGATGCCAGTCAGCATTGGTCTTCTTGCAACTGACTTCAATTATTTTTGATGTTCTCATAGACTCTCCCCATCATTAACATTGTTTCAATTAATATAATCAGAAATTTTGGGGCCTCCCCGGTGGCGCAGCGGTTGAGCGCTAGGTTGCGAAGCTGCCCGCAGCCTCTGCTGCACCGGTTCGATCCCCGGCTGCTCCCCAGCCACCGGAGGAGGGTCCCACATGGCACACAGACCTCTCCTGCCGCCCGCTGCTCCCCTCAGCAGTGTACTTCGGTCTTTCTGCCTGTTCTGCTCCCCGCTCTGGCTCTGGTGAATTCTCTCACCCTCCCGCGCTTCTGACTGTACCCAGTGCATGTGTAAACAATAAAAATAAATAAATCTTAAAAAAAAAAAGACACATTGATACAATATCTTTAAAAAAAAAAAAAAGAAATTTTGTATTAGGTAATTAACAATTAAGTTGATTTATATTAAAAGTATGATGCATTAATTACTACCATTAATGTTTTAATACAAAATTTTGACAGCTGGTGTAAAAAGAGTGCTGAGGGAAAGGTTTGTGACAGCAGAGAATGGGACACTGCTGAATTCTGAGGATGTGTTTATTTACAATGCTTTAGTCTAAATAGGATTCTGATACAGGTCCGTGAGAGATCAGATTTGGGGTACCACCCTCATCAGCAAATCAGGATGCCAGTATCTTCTATTTTTACATAGTTTACAACTGTGTTTATTTAGCCTAAGTAAATATCTGATACAAATATTGAGTTCGACTGGTTCAACAAGTGGAATTATCAAGTCAAAAGTCTTTCTTGGAAAAACAAAGGCAGGCACCTGTATAAATAAAGCAGTGTGCGTGATCAAAGCTGAGATTTTTCTGTATTTTTCTAATCTGGTCAGGGTTATTCATTGTCTTCTTGCTTGAAGCCTATTATTGAAGCCAGTGATTCTCCAATTACCTTCCCAAACCATCAGTTTCAGGGCCACCAGGGAACTTGTTAGCAATGCAAATTCCTGGTCCACACCTCAGACCTAGTGAACCAGAAACTCTGGGGCTGAGACCAGGGATTTCAGGGAAGAACCACAGTTGTGGCTGATGTGTGGTGGAGCAAAAAGCCCCTGTGGGCTGTATAATTTGCTTCCCTGATAAACCAAGTCCAAGCTAAGACTGCTGCTGCCACTGAGGGGGGAGAGAGAAGTCAGCTCAGAGTCAGTCCAGTTCACTCAACAGCTAGGAGAGAAATAAGACAGCAAGGATTTTTTTTTTTTAATCTAATACAAAATGTCTATCTGAGAATTGTAGGAGAGGGCTAGAGGAAGCAGGGGAAATACTACTACAGCCACACAAGAAGGTGGCCAGTTTCACTTAAGATCCATGTTCCCTAGCTGTTTACTGAGAGGCTGCCAGAGGCCACTTCCTGCTGTTGTTACAGTCCTCTCTTTTGAAGTGCCTCTTTCCTTTGTCTAAACTTGCCAGAAAACAGCAGTGTTAGGATAGGTGTGAGAGTTGTGGGTTTTTACCTATGCCTCAAGTGCAGATGTTAACATTTGTTCTGCTCTTGTTTCTGGATATTACTATGTAGTTACTTTGTTTGGTAACTGTAGCTGGCAAAGATGTAAGAGATTTGAATGCTTGCTTTGTGGAAGGCTCTGCATTAAGTGCTGGGTAATACAAAGACAAAAGTTTTCTTACTCTGGTGGTCCTTAGTCTAACACATGGGCCACTAGAAGGCCCCTTCATAAGTCTAAAATGAAAGACATGGGAACAGAACTAGGGGCCCAAGACTACAGTGAGAGCCAACGGGGACTCAGCAAAGGAGGTATAACAGAGGCATCCCCATAAAAGGGGAAGGTGCCATGTTCCCCACCCCACTTAACTGTGGGTGGAGCTGAGCTCCACCAAGTGAAGCAACTTAACATAAACAGCAGATCAGTGTTAGGAGAGACGACTGGAGAAGGACCTGCTTGCTTCTTCGCTTTGGACTTGCACCAGGGACTTGGGGGACTTGGAAGAGACACTTGGAAGATCACATGGGTGAGAGACACATGGAGAAGCTGGCAATGGTGGCCATTATCTTGATTTGTACTTTTGGAACCCCCATCAGCACCCACTCAAGTCAGTGGAGGCCTTGTGACCTCCCACACGATCCCGCCAGCACCTGCACTGACTGGTAAGCCCCTGGACCCATATTAGGGAATGAGACAGAGCAACCAAAAGCATGATGACCTCCCATGAGACCCTGCCAACTGTTCATCCAGAAAGCCAGGACCACCACTGCCCCACAAGCCTGCACCTATTGGATGGTTTGGGGAACCCCAATAGAGGTCCTGCCCTCAGGTCCCTGCCATCCCATCTAGGACTGGCACTGTGCTGCATGCCCAGATCTGCTCTGAGGAAGGCTCCAG